AAGACCAGAGAACAACCTGTGGGAGTCAGTTCTGTTCTTCCACACATGTAGGTCCCAGGGATTGAACTCAGTTCATCAGGCTTGACAGTAAATACCTTAACCTGCTGAGCCACCTCACTGTTCCCCATTATATATTTTACTTAACAACCCACTTAGGTTATTTTTGCTCCCTAATCCCAACCCTGGGACTGGTGAGTCTGAAGTTATAGCACTCAATGAAGAAATGATTCTACTATGCAACAAGGTCATGATTGCTAGTAAATTTGCCTCTTTATACTACAGAAATTGTGGTCAGAATGACTGGTTCCAATCCCAAGGAATAAGTTGCTGCTATATGCAATGAGCAAGGACTCTAGAGAATTCTTCAGGGTAGCTCTTCTCTCACATCTAATTTTAGGGCCAAACGATGGTACTCTTAAGTGCTTGTGGGATAAGGCCCTACCAAGGACTTAAATAACGTAAGGGATAGAGCTTAAATTAAGAACTAGATAAGGAACTCCGAGCTATAATTAAGGATTTAAGATTACAGCTATGCATTAACTTAATTGTAAAAGTCGATACCATGGGAAATTCAAGACAAGTAAAGTGGGTTGCTATAGTGTTCTCTTAAAGACAGGTTAAACAGGCTGAACATAAAGTACCATAGCAGTCTTAAGTGACCTCAGATACACTTATTAACTGGCTCTTAGGTCCAGCAAAAGTTCCAGTGTCTTATAATGTGAGAAATATTTTAATAACATTGACTAATCAGTATATAAAAAGGAGAAAGTGAGCCAAAAGGCGAGCATTCACCCTCCTCTCTCCTTGGCTGCACACACGACGTGACCAAATGCCTGGAGTTCCTGTTGCTCTGCGTTTCCTACCACGGTGGACTGCAATCCTGAGCTGTGGGCTGGAGTAAGCCCTTTCTCCCGTAAGTTGTGTTTGTCAAGGGATTTTGTCACAGTGATGGGAAAAATCAATGTATTCTATATCTTACACACGGACGTCAGCTTGTCTTAGCTAGGGTTGCTTTTGCTTTGATGAAACACCATAACCAAGTCAACTCAAGGGGGAAAACAGATCCATAAAACGGCTCACCATCAAAAGTGGGGAGGGCTGGGACCTGGAGGCAGGAGCTGAGGCAGAGGCTGTAGGGGAGGCTTGCCTCCCTCCACAGCTGCTGCTGTTCTCGGTGGTCATCCCATGGCACTGGGGTCTTCTGCTGCAACTGGGCTGCATGTTCACCAGCAGCCTCTCACGCCCTCTTTGTGGAGGGAAGCTTCAATTCTCTGCATGAGCCCTTCAGTCCTAGGGTCTTCAGCGCACACTGAGGCTGCATCTTCACCTGCTGCCTCTTCTGACCTCTCACCGTGCCAGGCCTCGGCTGTGCTCCATGACCCCCTTCATGCCGTCAAAACCAGTGCCACCCAGCTCACTCTTACACTACCAAGTACAGCTGGCAGCACAAGGCACAACTGTGGCTGCTTCTGGAACACAGCTTCTGTGTGCTGACCCCAAGGAAACACTTTCCAGCAGGTTTCATCTCAGTGACGCTGGTCTTTTCTTAACCACTGCTAATTTCTTAGCTCCAGCTACCCAGCATCAATTGTCCCATTAAAGCAAAGGTTTCTGCCGTAGTTTGAATGTAATTGGGCCCCCATAAGCTCATAAGGAGTGGCACTATGAGGAGGCGTGGCTTTGTTGGAGTGGGTATGACCCTGCTGCAGGAAGTGTGTCACTGCAGGGGTGGGCTTTGAGGTTCCCATGCTCAAGGTACCACCCAGCGTTGGAGACCAGCTCCAGCACCACAGCTGCCTGCGTGCCGCCATGCTCCCCACCATGAGAATAATGGACTGAACCTCTGAAATGTGAGCGAGCCACCACAATTAAATATTTCTAAGAGTTTCTGTGGTCATGGTGTCTACTCACAGCAACAGAAACCTTAACTAAGAGAATTTCACTTCGACAGTGCTAGGCTGACTCTCTCTCTTTCTCTCTCTCTCTCTTTCTCTCTCTCTCTCTCTCTCTCTCTGTGTGTGTGTGTGTGTGTGTGTGTGTGTGTGTGTCTTGTCTTTCAAGACAGGGTTTCTCTGTGTAACAGCTTTGGCTTTCCTAGAACTTGCTCTGTAAACCAGGCTGGCCTCAAACTCACAAAAATCCACCTGCTTCTGCCTCCCAAGTGCTGGGATTAAGGTGTGACCCACTATGACTGGCTCCACGGCTGACTCTTCAGCCCCAGCTGCTCAAAATGACAGAATCTAGATTCAGAATAGCAAATGGCCCTAATAGAGACTTCAGACTTCCCTGTCAAACTCAACAAGCCGCACTTCCATCTTCTGCATCGCCCTTACCATTCTCATCTTCCAAGTTCCTACAGCATTGACCACTACATGGCGTTTCTTGTACTAAGTTCCAAAGTCCCTATACAATCCTCCCCAAACACGGTCAGGTCCGTCACAGCAATACCCATTATCCTGAACACAAACAAGTGCCTGGCATGGGTGGACAATGTTTCCCCAAGAAGATGTGGGTTATTAAATAAAAATCTTAGTGCTAGCAATGGCCATGGTCATGACTCTTGGCTGCCCACCAGAACTGAGTTGTAAGACTCTGCTAGACAGAACACATTATGGTTGTGGGACCCAGAGGAATCAAGCTGGCATTCACCTGAAAATTTTCTCCCCGCAGCTAGAGTGCTTGGAAATGGTATGCAGGCCACTGGGAGAGGGAACCCATCAGTGGCATCACCCACTGCAAACACTGCAGGCTGCAATACTAGCTGCAGTATTTGCAGTATCTGAATGAGAATGGCCCCATAGGCACATATATTGGATGCTTGGTGCCAGTTGCTGGAATTGTTTAAGCAGGATTAGGAGGTGACCTTGTTGGAGCTCACTGGGGGTGAGCTTTGAGGTTTTAAAAGCCCACGCCATTCCCAGTCAGCTCTCTCTGCCTGTGGTTATGTTTCAAGTTGTGAGTCCTGTGATACTGCTCCAGCAGACCTGCCTGCCTGCTGCCATACTCTGACTCATAGACATTACCTTTCAGAAACTGTAAAGAAGTCTCCAATAAACTCTTCTCTATATTGCCTTGTTCATGATATCTTAGAACATCAATAGAAAATTAAGTCCCTGACCCGCCAGGCAACGTGTGCCTACATGTATAACAATGGCATAAAGGTTACGGGGGTGTAACTGTTCTATTGCTATAAAGAGACACCATGACCATGGCAACTCTTGTAAAAGAAAGCATTTAACCGGGGCTTCCTTACTGTTTCAGAGGGTTCGTCCATTCCCATCATGTGGGGAGCATGGAGGCATGCGTGCAGACATGGTGCTGGTGGAGAAGTTGAGTTCGGCATCCAGATTCCCAGGCAGCAGCCTGCTTGGGGTTTTGAAATCTCAAAGCCTACCCTACTAACATACTTCCTCCCACAAGAACATACCTCCTGATCCTTCTCAAGTAGTGCTGCTTCCTGATGACTAAGCATTCAGATATATGAGCCTATCAGGGTCATTCTTACTCAAAACACCACAGGGAATAATAACTGGTTTTGGATTGGACGGGAGGTAATTCATGCCCAGCACTATAAATCTGGTTAAAAGCCATAGGCCATAGTGAACCTACTTCTGGTGTCTTGCTAAATGGACATGCTGTCAAACTGCCTTTATGTTTACACACCTAGGTTAGTGCCTGTGGTGAGAGACCCACCCAGCTGCACCTGGGCGTGGCCACAGGTTCGTTGGTGAGTGTGTGGCATCTGGTCTGGGGTCTGGGACAGACTTGCTCTCTCTTGGTTCCAGTCAGGTCACAGAGAGCATCCTGGGTGTGTATCCTTGGAGCAGGAACTTGTGGGTCCCTGGTTTCTCGAGTAAGTGACTTCTCCCAGAATAAAATATATAAGCCATATTTTATCCTCGTCCCATGTATCTTAATCTGTACAAGTGCCACCCTCAACCTTGGCCAGGAAGCTACGGGCTCTGCAGTGATCAGTAGTTAATGCAATTCTAATAGTTGGTCAAGGTACTGAGAATAAATGACTAGTGAGAACTAAGTCCTAAATGGGACTTCTACTGTAACCTGCCTACTCCCTAGACTCAGGGAATACCCCAGAAGACAGGTCAGAGAGGCTGAACCAACTGGAAGATGGGGAGGGATTCTGTGAACTGCCATCTTTTAGACACTGAACTCATTGCAGCTACAATTATCCGCACAAGATCAAGTCAATAAGAGATGTCAAAATTCCTAAGGCAGCTTACAAAGGGGAGTATGTGTGAAAGACCAAAAAGTGAAGTTAAATGAAAGACAGTCTGACCTGGAAAGCTAACCAATATCTGTTCCTTGGAATTTGCTAGCTTCCTCTCACCAGGCCTTGAGATGACAAGAATTCACACTGCCCTTCCTTTCTGCCCCTCCTTTCCTGTGAGTCAACAGGTGGTAAATAGGGTCCTTAGGAAACAAAGAGATAGCTGTAACTCTGGTTTGCCCAGACAAGATTAATTAATACACCTGAGGCCCTAAGGTCTGCTGACCCTAATAGCAGACCATCCGGCCTCCAAGGGTCACGTACTCAATGGACAGAGGGTCCCACCCCCTCCCTAAGCTTGTGGGTTTGCCTTTAAAAACACCTGGGCCCAGGGGAGGGGGCTTCTCTCTAGCCTGCGTGCTAGAGGAGCCTGTTTGTGCAAACATTTCCTGTTCATTAAAGCCTCTTGCGTTTTACAGCAACTGAATTGCTGTAAAACATTGAATGCTGTAAAGCATTGAATTCTTGGGGTATCGACCGAACCTGGAAGACTCCTCATTCTGAGGGTCTTACATTTGTCTGGGTAAATGGTAAGGGGAGTTCAGGATGAATGATCAAAATGCATTGTTTACATGTATGAAATTGGACATGTAAACATAAAAGATAATCTAGTTTTAAAAAGAAGAAGCAACTGAATAAAAACTGGGTTGCTAGAATTTAAAACAAAGCCATGTGGCTTTGCTTGGAGCACCAAAGACATGGTATTGCTTACCAGAGAAGGTGTAGAGGTGGAGAATACTGGTGTCACGGAAATAAAATGCAATGCACTGCTCCTCACCTGACAGAATGTGGTGTTCTTGAGATTCACAGCTGAATTGGATCTCCATGGGGCACGACTGGACACCTCAGGAAACGACTGAAGAATTAGCATTTCTTCTGTAAAATCCTCTTGTCCACATAACAACGGTCTGAAGCCTGCAGGCGACGTGGTAGCCCTGAGTTCAGATAGAAACCACCGTGCAGAAGAAAGATGTCATTTCTGAGACTAGGGCTTCTAGATATGGAAAAAAAAAGTGGAGAAAAATTTTATTTAGCTTCCGTGTGCTTTTTCTCTTGGTGAACGCTTCCTTTCAGATCGTCTAGGAAGTGGGAATTAACCCTCTCCAACACTGATCCCCTTACAAGGCGAGGGATGGTCAGACAAGACCGGAAATTAATAGTACTAAACTAGGGGTGTAACTGGAACAATATTGCAAGGAGGGGGTTTAGTATTTGCACTAGAAATTAAGATTATGTTATTCTGTCTTTCCTTCCCTTCTAACACTCACAAGTCAATTATCTTTTCCAGCTCCGCAGACTGATTCCACTAGCACCCCAACATTTCGGACGTTCATGCAGTTAAGTCGCAGGCACAATGAGCACAAACTAGCTGTCCACAGCCCACAAGGTCATGAACCCACAAGCTCCGCAAGCCCAGAAGCCATCCTGACTCTCCAGTGCAGGAGAAACTGCCTGTCAATCATCACTACCCATAATTCCTCCACCTTCCTGATGCTCTCTCGGGCGCTCTAGGAATCTGGGAGGATCATAGCTCTAGGGTGCATCCTCACGCATGCGCAGCTTGAATTAGGAGCAGGGGCAGCTTCCCTAAAATCGCTCCCAGCTTTAGCCTAAGATGCTGGCTTGTCTCCAAGCTCGTCCTTTGCTGCGGTGTACTGTTTCTTGAGGTCAATGTCAGAATCCATCATCTCTAGGAAAAACTCTGTAAGGCCGGATATTTTTCTGACCGGATAATTAACTCTCGTGACCCGTTTCTGTGCTGTATCTGCTTGTTCCTCCTCTCCCAATCCCAGTACTTAATCACTTTCCTAAGTGAATTTTCTAAGTGTATTCCTCTTTTATCCTTCCTCCCTCGCCTTCCATCCAGGGAACTGAATATGCTAGTTGTACAATCTACTACTGACCCAGCTGTCTTTTACATAGCCCTCCTGCCCCACCCCATCTCATTTAGTTAGGATTTCTGTTGCTGCGATGCAAACACCATGACCTAAAAGCAAGTTGAGGAGGAAGGTGTTTATTTGGTTTACTCTTCTATATCACTTTTTATCATCAAAGGAAGTCAGGACAGGAACTCAAACAGGGGAGGATCCTGGAGGCAGGAGCTGATGCAGAGGCCATGAAGGGTGCTGCTTTCTAGCTTGCTTCTCTTGACTTGTTCAGTCTGCTTTCTTATAGAACACAGGACACCAGCCCAGGGGTGGCCCCACCCACAGTGGGCTGGGAGCTCTCTCATCAATCACTAAGAAAATGCCCTAGGGCTGGATCTTATGGACGTATTTTCTCAGTTAAGTTTCCCTCCTTTCAGATAACTCTAGTTTGTGTGTCAAGTTGACATAAGCCCAGCCATCACACACACACCCTTACTAAGCCAAGGCCCAGGCCTTGGATTTTCAATCCTGCCTGAGTTTACAGTGTTGCTGGGATTACAGACATGGCTCATTTCTTATTCTCTCTCTCTCTCTCTCTCTCTCTCTCTCTCTCTCTCTCTCTCTCTCTCATTACATTAATTATTTAGTGTGTATGTGTCTTTGCACATGCCATAACATAGCGTGGAGGTCAGGGGAAAATTTGTATTAGTTGGCTGTCTCCTTCCATTTTGTTGAGTCCCAGAAATCAAATTCAGGTCATTAGCTGTGTCAACCTTTATCCCCTGAGTCTTCTTTTAGTCCTCTTGTGTGGTGGTGGTTTCTTGTTTTGGTTTGTGAGATAGGGTCTAGCTGTGTAGTTCTGGCTGACCTGGTACTCACTATGCAACCCAGGTTGGCTTTGAGCTCCTGGCTATCTTCCAGCTTTAGGTTCCCAAGTAATGAGATTTTAGGTATGTACTACCACACACACACACACACACACACACACACACACACACACACCCTTCATCATGAAATGACTTTATTGATACAGCATCGGTTTTCAAACAGAGAGGCACAATAGTAATAGCATATATGTGTTGTATGTATTACTTAAGGGAAATTGGCTTATACAAATACAGGAACTGGTCAGATAGTCCTGTAGTGCTCATGCGTCTGTCTAATACTGGAATCTGATATTGACAAAGCAGAAAGGAACATAGAAGGAGCTAAGTGGAAGAAAATATAGTCAAGCTAGAAGCCACAGGTGTAAGTTGAAATTCACAATCATGGAATGAAACCTTATGTTAACATTATTATTGTTGGGTTTTAGTTTTTGAGACAGGGTCTCTATTATGTAGCCCTGACTGTCCTGGAACTCATTATATAGACCAGAACTCAGAGATTTGACTGCCTTTACCTCGTTACTGCTGAGATTAAAAGTGTGTGCCTCCATGCCTTCCCAACATTGGAATTTTTTTAGGACTATGTGAATTTACTCTTTCAATAAGTATTTCTATATTAGACACTGTGCTACAACATATACACATCATTTAGAATAGTCTTCAAAAGCCTGAGCCTCACTTCATGGAGAAGTGAGGAGATGCATACAGACTCGTGTGTCATGACTACAGAATTACACACTGTACACAGCTCAGTGAATAACAGAACTGGGGCCAGAGAAAACAGCAAGATCATTGTTCTTTTTGTTGTTTATAATTGTGGTTTGTTTCCATTTGTTTGTTTTAAAGTTTTTTGAGACAGGGTTTCTTTTTAACAGTCCTGGCTGTCCTGGAACTCATTTTGTAGACCACCTGCTTCGGTCTCCTGAGTGCTGGGATTGAAGCTGTAACCTTGCTTTTAAGAAAAAAAAAAAAAAAAAAAAATAGGCGATACATATAAATGACTAGCTTTGTTGGAAGGCCTATATGTAGTTTACTGCCTGATCCTGAAAGAACATGACTGTTGTTTCTGAAGGGTATTTCAGAATTTGCTTAACGTAGGTATTGTATTTTGATTTAATCCTGTTTTGGCTCTCAGGAAAGCTGTATGTCTCAAAGCAATTACTTTAATAGAGTTTGAAAGGAATCATCATCAACATGAGGTCCTTTGCGGCCAGATCAACTTGAGGGAAAAGTACACATTATTTTAATCATCAGCAACTTCATGTGGCCAATGGTGCCCATATTGGATAGCACGGATATTGAACACCACCTTGAAAACCTGATAGACTCTCCCACCCATTCAATCAATTCTCAGGATCTAGTTCCCTGTAAAATCTTCCATTTCCCCCAGCATACCCCTCCCTGGCAGACTCCCCCAAAGAGCATGACAGCCACAGAATGGTAGTCCTCCCTGGTTCCTAGAGGAACTTGCTCACCCCCCACTTCCGGGGGGCGTGCTACTAGTGCTTTCCCGCTTCCCGGGGTGGTTCAGGCAACCTGCAGAGCTAGGTGAGTGCTAGGATGTAGCCTCTCGGCTTTGGTGCCTTCCAGACTTCTTGGACTGCGATCATCCTTTACATCCTCCCCTTTACCCTTCGCCCCGCATCCGACTCGGGGAGAGCCTGGAGCTGTGCCGGGGCCACGTCATAGTCAGCGGGGCGCTTCTCTTGTCAACTGGTGCAGCCCGCATTTACCTGCGGCTTTGCCCGCCCTCCCAACCCCCCATTGCCCTTCCACTTACAGGCGCCTCCTGGGTGTTGGCGCTGGCAGGATCTTTGCCGTGAACAAAGCTCATTCCAGGGCCAGATCTCAGACATGGTCTTGGCTTTCCTTTATTAAACACCAACCTCTCTTTAGGTTATTTGAAAATCTGAGACAGGATCTCACTAGTTGCTCAGGATGGCCCTGAGCTCACCCTAGCCCGGGCCAACCTTAAATTTGGCGAACTCCTACCTCAGCCTCCCAAGTAGCTGACCTCACAGCCCTGTACCACCAGATCTGGCTCTTTAATTTGTATTCACCATTAGATACATAGACGTGCTTCTGTCTAATACATGTCCCTCCCAGCTTTTAAGCTCTGTGTTGGCAGGGGCAATGTCTTGATAACTGCGTAGCCCCTAATATAATGTCTGCACACAATACTAACAAATTTGTGAAAAACAGGCGTTTTTCTGATGAACACTTTGACTTTGTGAGTAATGGAGATATGAGAGAAGTCATCCAAGAGTGTGGACCTGGAGTCAGACATACAATCCCAGCAGCCCAAAGCCACATAAGGTGGGACAACTTGGTATGTTTCTCTCCAGACAACTGAACTTTCACTGTAGCGTGCTGTAAAGACAAAGTGAAGTGAGACATTTAAAATGGGTAGACAATGCTGGGACCCACTAGAAGGGTGCCGTGCATTGTTGATTATTAAATGATCAAGCAGTAACATTCTGACACTACATTTCTGGGTTTGTTGGTTTCCATTGAAAGGGATGCTCACACTGAGTTGTTTACTACTGTGGGAACTGGGTAACTCTGAGAGGGAATATTTGTGTGAAAGCATCAAAATAAAAAGGTGTGTTTAACATACCATGAAGCCCTAGATCCTATAGCACCTCGGGTGTATACCTTATTAGCTCTTTCTAGGAGAGGGAATGGAATCAGAAAAGTTCAGCTGCTGAGTAAAATGTCACCATGGTTACCTGATAGATTATGATGGTCTGATTCCATCACTGGTGCTTTTTTGTGATCTAGATCACTTACCTGAAATCTGCTAAATGATGGAAATGTTTTCCAGTTTGTATTAGGTTCCTGACAATGTTGACTAGTGCTTCTTTGAAATTCTCCTTGATTATAGTGACACACACACATGTATATACATATATGTATACACATGCATCTATATATGTATGTTTAATCATATAATCCTGTATATGCTGTATAGTGTCGTTATTTTTGGGTTGAATGGTTTTTGGCTCACAGTGGTGAGCCAAAACAATATAGCTTATTGTGTAGTCATGGACAGTACCAGTAATACTATAGCTTATT